AAATGCCTAAAGGATACCTGGATTTTTACTAATTTCTGAGTCTAATGCCGTGTTAAACCCTATTAAGAGCAAAACATTGGCAGGAAATACAGTTTAGAGGGGGTTTAGGCAGGCCATACATTATGCGAATTATGGCCAGTTCTTGACAAACATCTGGCATCCCTCAATCAGCTGACCGAAGGAGTTGGTTATATTTTCTTCATTCACCCCATGTGTTGTAAAAAAAAAATATTACAATGTATGCGCAACTTTACTGTCTGTATGGAGACCCCATATATCTACTTGGTAGCCATCCATGTAGTAATAAATGCAAATTCTGCTTATCGTGAACAGGATCTGCAATTAGAGATTTTACCTGCAGTGCTATCTTATATATACAGTGGAGCTCTTAAAGTACATTACTATCTTCAAAAGCTTAAACTTGTCTCTGCCAAACCCTGTAAAAACTCTGTAAATAATAGCAGAGTCCTACTCTTCATTATAAAAATGCAAAACATGGGAAGATAGGGAATTTCAATTGATGGTGTAAACCTAAAGAAAAGAGCAAACAGGTTATGTACAATCCATTGTTACTACAAGCTCATTGCTTCTAAAATACAGTACATTCCATAATAAAAAAAAATGATATCAAATCAGTATTTTAAACATTCTTCTTGGTTGTCTTTCCACATAATAAAAGGTGCCTTAGCTGCAATTACCTGACACCTCCTGCCATCAGTATGTGCTGAATGCATCACATTAAAGGAGAACTATGAGGTGAGTGATTTTCCATCCTCATAGTTGGAGCTGAGATGTGACAATGAAACTGTCACACGTTTACTCTATAGATCGAGAAGTGAGCGAACACATACTGTTGCTCGCTCACTTCCCGATCATTTCCTTGCAGAGAGCGATGACTGTCAGTCACTGCTCCCCGCAGGGATTCCCCCCTCTCCTCTCCGATCCTCCAGTGCTGACTGGAGGAACGGAGGAGGGAGGGGGCGGGTACAGCTAGCTCTGCTTCTAGATAGGCAGAGCGTGCTGTCAATCAGCCAGCTGGGTGGATCTCGAAAGTATTGTCGTGATCTGTCCCGCGGCGCTCTCAGCATATAGCGGGCAAAAGCCCACTATAAAGTTAGCTTTGGGTTATGGGAGGACGTTAGATAAAAAGGTTACACCATAGTTCTCTTTTAAACTCAACGTTAAAGTGGACCTTTCAGTAGCTTTACAAGTCTGCACTGATAAATTTAAGTCAGTACTTTTTATAATTAAAAAACAGTCAATAGTGACTTTGCCAAGGATGATGAAATCAGTCAGCTGCAGACAGGAGGAAGCATTTGCTCAGTTACCTTTACCCATTAATCACTCATACTGAAATATTGTAACTTTGTAGCAGGGGGCAGATCTGTGTCAGACCTTCGCAAGCACAGCATTGGATAATACCTGAAAAAAATGGTGCCATATGTCGTATTAGAAAAACAGACAATCAAGGCATCATCGGGGGAATACTGTGATATCTGTAGGTAGAAAATACCTGTAAGGGTTACTCTTTTAAATGTACCGTAATACTAGGCCCACTTTACATTTTCCAATACTCTCAGCACACATACACCTTCTGTGTCTTTTGTGAGGAGAGTGTAATTGGAAGCACATTAGAGGTGGAGCTTCAACCTTGAGAATTTCTGCAAGTAGTTGGTCTGATGGAGTTAGTGTGTATAAAAATAATCTTGTTTCTTAAAGAAGCATTCTCTAAATGTGCAATGTTGTTGATGATTCTGTGGTTTGCTGCATTTTTCTACAATCAGCCTATGGCATTTTTATGAGTTGTGAACTGAAAGTGTAGACACAGATCACATTTCCCAGCAAGTTTATACTACTTAACAACATACTGTATAATAGTAATAGTTCCCTCTTTAAGTATACATGAAATAGGTTGTATTCCAGTAGGTTCTGAAAAAAACTGTGCACAAATATTTGGAAATGTTATCAATTACTTTTTTATAATAAAAAAACAAACTTGAATTTTAGGCCTAAATGGGGTCGTGGTTAAACGACAGTGTGGTCTGTGTTACTGGCTTAAGTAGAAATATTTCAAACCAGTTGATTTATGTACAGCAAATGATGTTGCACAAGACATAAGCACCATTAAAGAGCTAGTAATGCTACTTTTGGACATCAATATATGTCAAAAGCTATGCATTACTAAACTTTATGAGCATCTCAGAATAACTGAAGTATTTGTATTGTACATGACTACATGATTTGTATCTCTTGCATTAATCTGCCCATTTGTTAACTCAAACTATGTTTGCCTCGCTAATTTGCCAAAGTGGACTTTATGTTTATCTAGGCTGTGTGTATAATCCTTCTAAACAGGATGTTCTACAATTTTAGTTGAAGAGTCACATGGACTTTTGCATATTTACATATTCTAGCTAATGCAAGTGTCAGTGTGAGGAAGGGTTACATACAATGGAATGCATTTGCAATTAAAGGAGTGGCATGTTCTACTTTGTTGTAGATCTGAGCATATGAATCTTGAAAGTTTGAGCATCAGTATGGTTCATGTCAATGTGGATGGAGATTTTCAGATCATACCCATTTCCCTTTAATCTGCCAATATATATATATCTATATAGATATATCTATATATCTATATAGATATAT